TCTTTCACACACACACAAACTAAATTTAATAATCCCCTTATCTCTTTTGTTAATGTCTGTTGTCTTACCTTCTATGTTATGTCATTTCTCCTTAAAAAAAAGTTTAGTTTTCATTTTAGAAGCAATTAAGCTACAGTATTTTCCTAAGGGCAAAGACCCCTGAAAATTGGTGTTATCCAGAAGCACACGTGCAGCTCCAAGGCTGTTCATGTTCGGGGCTGTGGGAGCTGAATAGCCAGATCGGATTAGGCATTTAGAGAGGGGGGCCTTAATGAGACTGGATCTAAAATAGACGTTTCAGATAAAAGGTCAAAAGAAGTGCTGCATAAAGGGCCATTCTAAGATAAGTACTTCTTGAATTGAAAATCATCCAACTCTATTTCAATAGAGCTCCTCAATAAAATATGAACCTGACAATATGATTAATATGGCCTCTTTAATATTGCCAAACAACTTTTTTAAAGCACCATTTCAGATGGTTCTCAGCATTTACAAATGCTTTAGAGATACAGAGTTCCATTTAAACACCAGTTGGTGATATTAAAACAAGTGTATAACAGAACGGTGTGGAAGAGCACATGAATTATGACCCATAAACAGGTAGAAGAAGGGAACTTGTTTTGTATACTTTTGAAAAAAATTACAAACAGTACTGATTTAACTCATTCAATTTATTTATTATGTTTTATTACATGTATTTGTAGTTTGTTTTTGTTTATTTAACTGTTAAATTCATTAAACAAGTAGGGAAATTAGTACAGTAAAGCCTTAGATTGCAAGTATCAGTGGGCAGTCAGGACTGCAGAAAAGGTCATCGGTGCAAGCCTGCCCTCCATGGAGGACCTGTACACCTCACGGGTCAACAGGAGGGCTGAGAAGTTCACAGATTGTGTCCAGGGTGTTCAGCGAAATACACGTAAATGTACATTGTACAAACTATTCAGATCCATACAGGTCTCTATTTTTAAGTACTCTATTTTTATTCCTACTTGTCCCATTTCACAATGAGCATTCCTTGCCTGTCTGCATTGTTTACTGCCTGTTTATACTGCTTATTTTGCATTGTTTGCACCGTTTGTTGGTTGTAAATACTGCTTATTTTGTTATATTAGTGCTCATCTTGCAAAACACTCGCAGACCAGGTTATCCAAGGTTTTACTGTATGGTTAAAAAAATGTTTTGGCAGCCAGTCTACGGTATTAACATCCTTACATTTGAATCACTTAAAGTGTTTAACAACTAATGATAATACAACAGAAAGATTTTTGTCAACATGTGCTCTATCGTTTTTCTTTCCCAGGGGCAGTTTCAGAAGTTAGGTGGGGTCATAAGAGACAACGAGATGGTAACAGACATCAAGCCTGGCCCTGTTGTGACAGTGTCAACCTATGCTGGTGTTTATTGGGCCAAGAGTGTGGTGATCACCACTGGACCCTGGGCAAATAGACTGCTGACTCACACAGGCTTACAGTTGCCATTAGAGGTAATCAAAGTCCTGGTGTCTCATGTGCAACAATGTTCCTATGCTTCAATTCCATGCTCCATATCTGCAGACCCCTCACACCGTGGACACAATTTGTTTGAACTCCTCCCCCCTGGACAGCGTTACAGGTCACTGTACACCAATTCAACAAGGCACAGGGACAGTTTCTTCCCCAAGGCCATCACTCTGAAGAACACTTAACCAACGACATTATGACTGGAATATAACCCTCAATGCAATACCTGTAAATATACCTCGTACAGATTATACACATTCGTATAGATTTCTAGTTTTAAGTACTCTATTTTTATTTCTGCTTATCCCATTTCACAATGAGCATTCCTTGTCTGTCTGCATTGTTTAATGCCTGTGTCGTGGCAAGAGTGAGATACCAACTAAATTAATTCAGACAAACCATTACAATTTAAAGGATCATTTAATATTACAATTATTCTGGGTAGAGTAGCATTTAAACAGATAATCTTGTAGTTAGGGAACAGAGATCAGAGATCAGAGAACAGACTTTCCTCTTGCAATAGAATAGATAGAGCCTAAAGATTGTCGGAGCACCAGTCAGTCAGGTCAGGTCCTGAGTCAGTCAGCCCCAGTCAGTCATCTTCGGCTGGGTCCCTGAAAGGTACCTCGTCTACCGTTTACTGCAGCTCAGCTCAGCTACATAGCTACTTCTCAACAGCTGGACTCTGTCCCCCTTGACGTCTCTGCGACCCCCCTTCTCACTCCATTCCAGGAAGACAGGAAGGTTGACTCCCAATGTTCTGGCACACAGGGTTCATCTCTGACCATACTAGGCCTTAACTAGGATTCTAAGTATTAATTATATAACCCCTTACATAAGCTAATACCAAATAAGGTCTATATGAGCTACATACTGTTCCATTACATATTTCCTCTGGAATCTGGTTTATTTTTCACCACTACACCTGTCTATACTGCTTATTTTGCATTGTTTGCACTGTTTGTTGCTTGTTAATACTGCTTATTTTGTTATATTACACAGCCTTATGCTGGTTTACTGTTTACTTGCCCCTTGCATGGGGATATGTGCATACACAATGATAGCCAATGTACCAGAGTCAAATTCCTCGCGTGTCCAACACACCTGGCCAACAAAGCAGTTTCTGATTCTGATATCTTCGTTTGTGGACAAAGGATAGTCTGTCTAATGTATGCAAAAGTTTGTTTGAGTCTGAGTAAATAATATATTTTGTTGATTTTCAAATGAAATTACTTAATTACTTTTTACTTCTCATTTCATGAGCTCAAAAAAATAGCATGGAGTAGGGCAGCCTATTAAGCTGCCTCTCCCCAGAGATCTGCAAAACAGGTCTGGATCAGAGTCCACATGCACATTACAACTCCAATCCACAGTCCCACACACCGATGTCCCAATCCTTCGTCCATTTCGGGGTAATATCCTTGTCCCCTGACCCTGAGCTAAGCCAGGACCCATCTGCTCCTGACGCTGAGAGTTCTCTCTTTCATGGAACTTGTCTAGCTGTGTGTCCTGGGGGTTAGGGAAAAGGAGAGGCTGGAGGAAGGGTCCTGCCCAGAAGACCCCTTTGCACCTGTCTGCAGCACCTGCCCACTCCCAAGCTGCAGCATCAGCCTGTTCCAGAAACGCAGCCTCAGCCTCCCCCATGCCCCACTCCTTCTCCAGGAAGAGAGGTCAGAGATGGAGGTGGCAAACAATCCAGTCAGTCTCAGGACTCCAGTATTCTGGTCTAAACCTCGCTTTTGATATAGCTGTTACCCGGGGTGCTGATGAGAGCATCCCTGCGAAAGCTTCCATGCTTCGGTGTGCTGAGGAAGGATCCCCGCTGAAGATTCAGTTCACCAGTGTGTCAACAAGGATACTAGTGCTATGGTTACGGTCTCTGTTCCTGTGCGGGGCTGCTGGGACACTGATGCCGCCTTTGTCCCTGTTCTAGAGCGGGATGGTTGAGACGCCAATGCCACCTCCTTTCTTGTTTTCAAGCAAGTTGGCTGGAATGCCTATGCTGCCTCTGTCACTGAATCCGAGTGGGTCAGCAAGAATGCTAAGGGTGCCACGAAATCTACCTCCAAGCAGGTTGACACCACTACCAGCCCAGTTCTGGAGTGGGTTGACACTGCCTCTGCACCTAGCTTCACATGGATTGATGCCACTGCCATCTCTGCTCTTGAGTGGGAAGAAGCCACGCCTGTCCCTGTTCCCAAGTGGGTCGGCTGGGTCACTGATGCCGTTTCTGTTCCTACTCCCGAACGGGTTGGCTTGGATGCCAAAGCAGTAACTGTTCCAGTTCCCAAGCTGGTCAGCTTGGATGCTGATGCTGATGCTGCGCCTGTTCCTGTTCTTGAACTGATTGCCAGATAATTCAAATGCAGATAGAGATGTTCTCCTGCCATTAACTACTCTTACGTAAACCACTAGTAGAACTCCCCTACAAAATGTGTCTTATGTCTCCTCAAACTTGGGCTGCAGGTGAAAATGCAGAGTGAGGAGGGGAGGGGCAATACAACTAGCTCATGCATATAGTTCCCCAGGGGAACTATAGCAGTGAATAAATGGTTCTGCACAAAGAAAACAAGTGACCCAAAATATTGTGCAGTGGGGTATCTGGATTTTGGCCAAGGTCAGCCCCACCCCACCCCAGCCTCTGGGCTCAGATCATTTTTAGATTACTGGGGATATGTAATCAGTATTGTACTCAGTATTGGCAATTATGAATCTGAAAAAACCCGCATGAAGTATAGTGTCCCACAAGTACCAATTCTTGGGCCCCTCCTATTCAACGTGTACATGCTTCTGCTTTTATAAAATATATAGGAGTGTAGTGTTGCTTGTCACAGCTATGCAGATGACACCCAGGTATATTTAATGCTCTCACTAAATGACTGTGGTCTTATAGACTGAAAACAAATCACTGTGCAAGTGGTCACATAATTGCTTTGCAACAGTTTTTTCAAGGATTTTACAAATAAAAGAGAGATTGGATATTGATCTACAGCTACACTGGGGTCAAGGTTAGGCTTTCTGATTAAAGGTTTAATTACAGCAACCTTAAAAGGCCTATGGTACATAGAGAGAGATTGGTGAGATCTAGTATGGATGTGTTGATTAAGGGTAAAACATCTTTGAGCAGTCTAGTTGGGATGGACTTTAAGAGACATGATGATGGTAGTAATTGTTTTCCTGATTTCACAACTATAGGTGGTGAAGATCAATGTGTGCTACTGGAAAGAGAAGGTTCCCGGATCATATGATGTGAATCAGCGCTTTCCATGTTTTATACTGACACAAGGTGAGGAGTCCAAAGAGCATATCTATGGCCTCCCATCCAATGAGTACCCAGGCCTGGTAAAGGTAGGTTACAGAGCTGGACCATCCAGTGTGATTTTACAGAGGACAAGCTCAAATAATCAAGCTAATTATGTAGACTATTAATTATTACATTTGTTTGATTTTCTGGTTGGTGATTTGGCTTCGGCTTTAGTATACAAACCAGATATATATGCATTAAATAATCAGCATTTTACTACAGTGTGAACAGTAAGGATATGTCTTCCTTGAAGCAAATGGTGACCTGCAAAATGGAACTGAATGTTTTTAGTACACTGCTTCATCTTTGCTGGGCCAGGTGTGCTCTGGTGACAGAGGAGGCTGATCATCAGTTAAACACGCCTGATATAATTGTAATGAATTTAATTTCCCACATGAGCAGGGTTTCTTGATCTTTGCAATTAGCCAGCCATAAAGTCTAAACTGAAAACAATAGTATCTGGAAAAGTGTCTGGTATAGTTGCTGCCTTTCCAAATCGAGGTAATCATCCTTCCTAGCAACCTGGAGCACTTCTGTTGTGGCTTTTCTTTTTGCATTTGCTTTGAAATTTGTTTGTACAGCTCTCTTCAAATCGATCCACAGGTTTTCAATGACATTTAAGCAAAGTCCAAGTGGAACCATGGTTCCACTTGGGCAGGAGTACGAGGGGTTTTAACTTGTGTTACTTCCTGGTTCCCAAAAAAGTCAGGCGAGATGAGACCTATTCTTGAACTGTCTCTCTTCAACAAATACATAGTTCAGAGACTGTTCATATGCTCACCACGAAACAAGTACTGGGCTGTGTGCATCCCAATTGCCGGGACAGCCAGTCATGTCATGGTCCCTCTCGGGCTTCACATGAGGAAGCTCCAGAGGTGCTTCAGCAGTCTTTGCCTTGACCAGGTATGTCACAAGAAGCTCGTGCTCACGATTCCCCTCTTGGGCCAATCAGACCTGGCGAACTGGGGAACTCCCAGTGTGCTGACAGCGGGTGTATATCACACAGTCAACATGGCACTCACAGAGGTGAACGTGTTTGCGCGTTCCACTCTTGAATGCCAGCTTTTTCTTCATTTTCTTCTTTTTTGTGTGTTTTTTGCTTTTTCTGCAGTGCACAAATGTCATGCACTGCTTACATACAACAGACAGGCATTGCTGGATATCGCCAACTCACAAAGCCACTGAGAATTTACTGGTTTCATACCACTGGAGCTACAACCCATCGTCTGCTCCGGCAACAATAACAACAATGGCGAGGAAAGCCACCATCGCCCTCGGGGAGCCCCTGGAGCACCAGGCACAAATGAGCAGGCTGAAATCAGGAGAGCGACCCGGAGACAGAGATGCAAACGGGGCAGGCAAGGGGGACTCCATGCTAGGCTAAAAGCTCGCGCTACCCAACCGCCATTACCCAGCCTCTTCCTAGCTAATGTACAGTCTCTGGAAAACAAACTGGATGAGCTAAGGGCTAGGATTACAGCACAACAGAAAATCAGAGAATGCTGTGCTCTAGTTCTCACAGAGACTTGGCTTTCGGACAGAGTACCAGACTCAGCGATTCAGCTACAAACACATTCTGTACATTGAAGCGATCACACTGCTGCTTCGGGGAAGGTAAAAGGAGGTGGTGTGTGTGTGTTTATCAATGGTGTGGAGATGTACGGACTGTTTATAAGCACTGTTCGCCAGATGTAGAGTTTTTATTGCTGAAATGCTGGCCCTATTATCTAGCAAGAGAGCACAGTGCCATATTTTCATATTTTCATATTTCTGCTGCTCTCCGGGTCGCTCTCCTGATTTCAGCCTGCTCATTTGTGCCTGGTGCTGCTGTGATTAGCCCAAGAGCTAATCCCTCTGTGGCTCTCAGCAAACTATGATGTCATCAAGAGACAGCGCACCCAGATGCTGTATTTATCGCTGCAGGCGACTTTCCAGTGCAACTTACGGACTGTACTCCCCAAATATTACCAACATGTGAACAATACCACTTGGGGCAAGAACACTATGGATTATGTTTACAGTAACATACGTGGTGCATACAGGGCTGCACCCCGCCCCCGCCTTAGATGCTTGGACCACATTTCTTTGTTCCTATATCCAGCTTACAGACAAAGACTGAAACAAACAAACAAACCCTGTCACCAAACAAATTAAACTCTGGACCCCAGAGGCTGAAGGCATCCTGCAGGACTGTTTCGCCCAGACAAACTGGGATGTGTTTAAAGCAGCAGCCACCTCGGAGGTTTTTTCTGTCAGCGTACAGGACTATGCTGAGTATGTGACCGGGCACATTAGTACCTGCATTGACAACATTGTGCCCATCACACAAGTCAGGAGGTTCCCCAACCAGAAGCCCTGGATAAACAGTCAGGTACGCCACATGCTGCGTGCCTGCTCTCATGCCATTAGATCAGACGATTAGACGGAGTACAAAGCTGCAAAGTACAGACTGAGGAAAGCCATCACAGCAGCCAAGAGGCAGTACAGAGAGAAGCTGAATGGCTTCTATTCTACTG